AATGATGGTTTCAATTTTATTCCTTTCCATAATTGCAATTCTTATGGGTTGATTGAAGACGATTTGTACGTTATTATTTCTTGAAATTTAATATTTTCTTTGTTGTAGGTTTTGTTGTGTTCCCTTAAGAATCTTCATTCATAATCCAAAGCGAGGGAACAATTTTCTTCCAAAACTCAAGATGTAGCTCTACGTGCGGACTCCAATAATATATCACCACGTGCGTTACATTGTAGTGGTTATTGTAAGGTTATTAAAGTAGAACTGCGGAGATTATTTCGGGTTATTGAAGAAAAACCTATATATTTCACTTAATAACCCCAAAATAACCAATAAATAACCCAAAAAATATCCTCCGCGGTTCTACTTCAATAACCCAGAAATAACACCACATATGTTTCTGGATTATTGCAGAGTTATTTTAGTGGAATATATAAGTTTCTCTTTAATAATCTCGAAATAACATCTGTGGTGTTATTTCCGAGTTATTGAATTGGAACTGTAGAGGTTATTTTCGGGTTATTGCAGAGTCCACAGTTCCATTTTAATATTTTTTAGGTGGGCCCGATATAACACACATGGTGGTATATTACTGGGAGTCCGCACATAGAGCTACGTCCGAAGTTCGAATAGAAAATTTTCACCAAAGCGAGACAAAATTAAGTCAATTAAAGCCATTGCATCATGACCATCCTCTATTGGTATGCAGCTATAGCTTTATTTTTAGTGGAATTTACATACATGACACACAATTCTCATGTACTTCCATATCTCGCACCTAAAAATTCTAGCCAGATTGTCGTATGAATTGCTTTTTGTTAGTAACTTAGGTCATACATCGACATATAGATCATTTCTTATTTCATTTTTACCAGTTTCATTTCAATTCCTTCTGGAGGGTTTGGTAGCTTCCCCAGCTCCCTCAAGCAGGGAACATTTGGACATATAGGTATGCTTCTATTTTTTTTTTCAAATAGTCCAAACATCATCTTGAAACATTGTCTTCTGATTTATTTGTTTTTAGCTTCTTTAGAGTTGTTTCAGACATCTCTCTACTCTAATGAATTTGAATGAGAGTTACTTCATTACTTATAAATTTGGTGAATGTTAGATTTTAGTGAAAATTCAAAATAGAAAAAGTATGAAGGTATGGATCAGAAGACTGACAAATTAGATAAGGTCAAAATTAACATTTTTGTACTTAGAGAAATTGTCGAAAAGATTTGTTCATGGATAAGAAGTCTTGATTTTGAATTGCACTACAATTTATGCAATACTTCATCTAAAATCTACAAGCCAATCACAGCTGATGTCCATATATTGGAAGTGATTACTCTTTCTAAGGGCGGAAGTAGGGTAGAGGTAGTGATTGTAGAACAAAGTAGTAATGAAAATCTATTATTTTTATTTAATGGATATATTAAGGATAATAATCAATTTTTGGAGTTCTCCCATCCAACATTTAACGGCGAATGCAATTGTTATAGTGTATTTGATGTTATTGATGATAGATTCTTAGTATGTGAAAGTTGAGATAACAAATCTTTATCAGTTGGCTCAATTTTTTTGGATTCTATCACTCTCATGCAAGCCTTTCGCACTGACACAATTTTGAATAATTTTACACTGAAGATTAAAGCTAATGACAAAAATAGAATTAAAGTCATTTGTACATATTGAGGATGTCCTTGGAGAGTTCATGCATCAGTGTGTTCAGATGGTCATTCATTAAAAGTAAAGAGAGTAGATGCCACTCATTTGAGCCCTAGAATTAATAGAGCGGGAAATAAAAGTGCTACAATTAACTGGGTAGCACATGAGATATAGGAAAAAAAAAATCTAAACATTCCTCTAATCTCTTCAAAAACGGCTTGGAAACCACCTATGGGTTATCATTACCATACATGAAATTATGGTGTTCTGTGGAACAAGAAAGAGACATTATATTTGGCTTAGTAGATGATAATTATAGGTGGGTGTCTACTATTACATCAAAGCTTATTAATAGAACTCGGGTTCTCACATAGCATTGGGAACAAGCAAGAGACGTTATATTTGGCTTAGTAGATGATAATTATAGCTGGGTGTTTACTATTACATCAGAGCTTATTAATAGAACTCGGGTTCTCACATAGCATTCAAATGTCCCAGTTATGACAACACGCTTTAAGAGATTTTATGTGAGTTTTAAGGTTTGTAGTGATAATTTTCTTGCTAGTTGTAAATAATTAATTGCACTTAATGCATGCCACCTTCAATCAAAATACTTAGGAGCACTTCTATTTACAATCTCTCCTGATGGCAAAAATGGTCTTTTTCTTTTGTTTTTGCTATTGTAGAATCTGAATAAAAAAGATCATGGGAATGGTTTTTAAGAAATTTGTTACAAACCCTTGGTGGTGACATAAAACATATGACTTTCATTTCAGACATGGAGAAAGCACTTGGGGAAGCTATTAGAATTATATTTCCAAACTCAGAGCATAGAGTATGCCAACGACATTTATGGAAGAATATGAAACTGTTCTTCCACTGTGATGATAGCCATATACTGAAAAATTTGTTGTGGACTTACTGCTAATGCATTAACCAAAAAAGAGTTTGATGCGAAGCTTAATGGGATATTCAACATAAGTCCTGTCGTGCATTCTCATTCGACTTCGTTGCCATACAAGCTTAGTGACTTAAAGCAAGCGAACAACGACAACAGCTGTAGATACATGAATTTCAATTCATGCAGTACCGAAAAGCACAATTACATAGAAAAAACTCTGGTCATCCCTACTACATGCAAAAAAAGTTTCTTTGCCAAGAGAGAGGACAAGAGAACGCATCATTTCAGCACAATCTGCTACAACCTAGAGCTCTGCGCATCACAATTCTTTGAAGAGAGCACCATAAAAAAGTTTAAGACTATCTCAATGCAGATAAAGATTTTAATAGCTTTGATTTTTATTTTAATTGCTCTGATTATTCCTTATTATAAGAATGGTTACATATTTACTGATCTTGCAGTGATAAATGAAGCTTTTTGCACCATTAATGTACTTTTGCAATGAGTATATATCTAATACATTTTTCTTTGAGGCGGTGGTTACCACAATAATATGAATCTATTAAAACATCGGTTTCATAAGAAAGCTGTTTTTCGAAGATTTGGCTCTTTTTCCTCTGCCTTTTCTCTAGTCATTAAGGAGGGGAGCCATTCAAGAAACTTCTTAAGCTGGAATGGCTAGCGAATCAACTAAAGCCAATGGCCATAATACAGCTTCAGAGCAGTCAAATAATGCAGGTTTTAGTAAAGCTTGTTGCTAATATCACATCAACTACAACAACCTTGATTCACATGTTTGGCTTATTATAAACATTAGCAACCCAAACATATTAAACACCAAAGGAAACAACTGCCAAAAAATATATTTGAATGACTTTGCAAAGTTAAGAGATTTCATAAACAAAATATTCAGTTCTGATACAAACATTCTGAATGACAAGATAACTAAAATAAACAAATACTTACGACATCATTGCTACATAATTTTTTGAAAGTTCGTGCTTCAAACTAAAACTTGGACAATAAGTTCACAACTCATTAACTTCAACAATAACAACGTTGTCACCAAAATAATAACATAATTAGCATGACCACAACATTGATGAAAATCAATACTTGATAAGAAATTTCAAATCTTCAAAGTTCTAAATCGTGTCATCGATTGCCGACCTTTCTACATTACCATCAACTATTTTAACATCAGTTGTTTCATCTATCCATTTGAAATACTTGCAATCATTCTCCAGTGATTTCTTATACAACGATAAAATTTTCTACCATAACTTTTGTCTTTATAGGATGTATGAACTGCACACATAAACAAGAGTTACAATAAACTCTTTGATTATTGATTTCCTACGAAATTGATGAATGATTTAAACTTATACTTGTTATATCCTATTATAAACAACAAAGGATGAGAACATAATTGGTATATAAAAAAACATACATATACATAGGAAAAAAGAATTGAAACAAAATTTATGGCTTTCATATCTCGGTTATAAGATGAAAAAGTCGAAGTCCTTGATTCAAATATGCTTCCACATCCAAAAGCATCATATCTCGGTTATAAGATGAATTTACCTAGCATCTGTTGAAGCTTTGTTGTTCCCTCCCTATTGATGAACACAAATGACTTAGCATGACTTTGGCTAGGATACAATGGGTCAAGGATGAAGGACCACACGTTCCTGTGACTTTGGCTTGGGATGAAAGGGGCCAGAGAAGTGGTAAATGAAGAAGGAGCTCAGGACGACAGACCTTGTGCTCCTATGACTTTGGATGAAAAGAGCTGAGGAAGAAGGTAAACTACAAAGGAGATTACATAAACAAAAAATTAGGGGTTGAACATGGAACAGAGAAGAAGCGGTAAAATAAATGAGAAATTAGATTTATGGTGGTAGTTCTGTAAATAGCAAAGGTTAGGTGTTGGACAAGCAAATAGAAAGGCTTTAAGTGTTATGTAGGTAAGAACTCCTATTTTATATCATGTTAAAACATTCCATCATTTTAACTATTAAAAAAATCAAATATACTCCTTCCTGCATAAATAAGGTCTTATGGGTGTAAAAATTGAAGTTTTAAATGTTACATATATAAATACATAGGAATTGATAGGCATGTATGTAAATGTTCCAAATTAATTTGGTCAAAACCATTGTATTAGTTTGTGCTTATTACCAAAAATGCTATATAAGACCTTGATTTTTCCAGCTATTATGCCTCAAGTACTTCACTTTTCATGTTAATTTATCTCAACAATTTTTTAGGGAAAAAAAATTGAACTATATAAAAATGAAAAATCATTTCTCATCATTGTCATAATTCTTCGCAATAGTCTATTTATTCAAAGTTTACAGCACTAAAATAATACAAATGATAAACAGAAAAAAAAAAGTTCAATACCTCAAAACATTCACATTTACATTATATATATATATATTATTTGGACAATATAGAAGGGGTCATACAGTTGTTGAAGAGAGAGAATCTGCCAGCTCCTCCAAAAGCTCTTTCTGCTCCATTGCGGCACAGGACTGCACCAGCAGTTTTAAATAAAATAAGTCCATTTTAGTTTATTCCAAAACTATATTAGGAAGATTCACATAAATATCACTCAATACCTATGTATTTATATATCAACGGCCAAATTTTAATTTTTCGCTACATACCACCCTAGATTTGAGTGAAAATACGTACATGCATGGAACTATGCAATTCACTTTAGAAAAGTTAATATTAGTAATTTTTAAAATTATTTTAAAAAATTAGGGTTTATATACACGAGTAGAACCAACCTCCAAATATGGAGCGCATTTTATGTCTAGACTCCTGACGTAGCTCTACGTGCGGTGAAAATTATTTCTGAGTTATTTTCAAGTTATTTCTGGGTTGTTTTCAATAATCTCGAAATAATCAAAAAATAATCAAAAAATAAAGACCGCGGGTTATTTCAGTATTATTGAAAATAACCCAGAAATAACATGAAAATAACTCAGGAATAATATGAAAATAACTCAGGAATAATCTCCGCAGCACGTAGAGCTACGTCAGGAGTTCCCATAGAAAATTAGGCCCAAATATGGGAGGGGCTAGAGCAACAAAGAGCAAAACTATATTTTAAGAAAAAACAAAACTAATATTTCAGGAAGTGCAAGAAACTAAATTGCCCTCCCATATGATTAAATATCTATGTTTGAAGAGCGACAAACTACATGGGTCTACCCCAGTTATATAAAGAAATATAAAATTCAAATAAATATATGGTCATGTAAATCCCCATAATATCAAAGCTAGATACCATATTCCAATAAGTAATTATAATAATAATAATAACCTGTACGGCTGTCTCAATGTCACCCGAAAGGAAGGACGTAAGCTCAAAATTCATCTTGAGACGATGGTCGGTTACTCTGTTGTCCTATAAAAACAAATATATTTTATACTAACAAATATAACAAGTTAATAATTTACGAAGGAGCTAATAACAACAGTAAATAATAATAATAATAATAATTAAATTTATAAAAAAACAAATTATTTTCTTACCTTGAAATTGTATGTTCTGATTTTCTCGGAGCGAGCACCTGTTCCAACCTGCGTGATGCAGATAATTTCAGATTGATTTGGAATAACCTAAAACATAGCCAAACTGAAATGCAACTAATAAACTAAGGGGATTTTCATAAATATCACATAAATCATATGTATTTATGTATCTAACACCTAAGCTATAATATTTGCTTATATTACACTTTATTGTCACAATTACAGCAAAACACTTGAGAATCAAAAGATTTATTTCATTTTAGAAAAGTTAATTATAGCAAAACTTTTTATTTGATGTTGAATATTCATGTCACAAAAGTAAGTATAGAAATTTAGGCATTAGAATTGTAAATATATCAGAATTATGTGGTAATATGTTAAACTCCATTAACGTGCCTCATTCAGAGAAAAGCCGATTAAGAATATGAATACGGACTACATGAAGCATAAACCCAACAAAAGAATGGAGGGCAATATTAGAGAGGAAATAAAGTAAAACCATGTTTTTTTCTAACTAAAAGGGGGCGTTTAGCATACCAAACAATTCTTATGTATTATCTAACACCCAAACTTTAATGTTTACATTCCTAACGCTGAAATCGTTAACATCACATGAAAAATATCACTTTTACTTAATTTTAAAAGTCAAATGCACACTTTTATGCATTGGAATTATATGGTATGTATTTAAATTTCCCTTAATGCAATTAACATAGATAGGAAGAGATAAATGAGGAGTTAGGAAGAGATAAATAAGGTCTATGTATTTTTTAGCTTGAAGAGAAATAACATTTTCTTGTTTCCATATTCAGCTTGAATTGAAAAAGAGAGTACTTTGCACTCGATGTCAACGACATGACTAATTAAATATTTCATTTCTTCATAGCATTTTGTGCTTTCAAAACTTTTTGGGTTTTGTTTTACTAGGATTATGTCCAGCATTTTTATTTTTTGATTAGAATTAATTCTTGGTGGGTTCAAATAGACCTCATTCATAACAAACATATTTATGGGCAAGTGCAAGTTATATGCAAGATAAGTCTTAGCATGATATGCAGTGTTGGTTAAAAATGGGAACCTGCAATTTTCTTTGGTTCCTCATTGATTCCTGTTGCTCTCTTACTTTGATGTCATAACTGCAAAACAATAGGAAATTAAACAAAAAAAAAAAACATATAAAATATAAAGAAAATAATCCAATAAAACTTCCATCTAAAAATTGCAAACATGATTGAAAAATTAATGTCAACGCTAGACTACAATGGTCAATTTTGAGCGACGATCAACGTTGAGCGAGACAATAAAAGATTCTAAGAAAATGGAAGATTACATACATACCTCTCAATTCCTATGTATTTACAAATCTAACACTTAAACTTCAAGTTTTGCATACATACCACCTTAGCTATGGATGAAAAGGTGTATTTCACCTTTTAAAAATTAAAATAGTGCTATTTTTAACGTAATATGAAAGATTTGGGTGATTTAATGGTGGCTTTGCCTTGTTTCATGGTGGCTTTGTCATGTTTGATTTCTGGTGCTGGATTTGTTAATAAAAAATATAGGTAGAGATTTTATCATGAATTTTGATATTTGAGTGGAAATTTGAAAAATGGATGAAAGTTGGTGTTGGATTTGTTAATAGCAATATGTTGGGTCATGTGTATGTTTTGAATATGGGTTGGGATTTTATCATGAATTTGGATATTTGAATGAGAATTTGAAAAATGGATAAAAGATGGTGCCGGATTTATTAATAACAATGTTTCGATTGATGTGTATGTTATAAATATGGGTTGAGATTTTATCATTAATTTTCTCATGGCAGTAAGAATTTGAGAAATGGATGAAATATAGTGTTGGATTTGTTAATAGCAATGTTTCAGGTGTTGTGTATGCTTTGATAAAACTCATAAAGTAGATGTCAAAAGCGTATGAAGGAATTGGATGTTTGTTGCTATGTCCTTTGATTTGCCAAGGTTGCTTTGGCCTTCTTCTATGACTCCCCCTATCTGTGTGGAGGTTTGTGGTGTGTGATTGGTGTCTGGAGGTGGTGGTGTCTGTGTGGAGGTGGTGGTTAGTGTGGTTTTGTTTGTGTAAAGGTATTGGTGTGTGAAGGTGGTGCTAGTGGTGTGATGGATGTGTTGGTGCCTTGATGAGCCGATGTGTGAAGGTGTTGGTGTGGAAGTGGTGGTGTCTGGTGGAGATGGAGTTGTCTATGTGGTGTCTGGTAGTGTGTGGAAGTGGGAGTTTCTGTGTGAATGTGTTGGTGTGTGGTTGTGAAGGTGGTGGTTAGTGTGTGGTTCTATTTGTGTTGAGGTGTTGGTGTGTGGAGGTGGTGCTGGTGGTGTGGTGGACGTGTTGGTGTCTTGATGTGCTAGTGTGGAGGTGTTGGGTTGGAGGTGGTGGAGATTGTAGCATTCCTATTTTTCTTTGATTTGCAATATTGCGACATTCCTATTCAAGCTAATTAGTTTTTTTTTTCATGCTAGTAATATAATATAGTTAAGACAAAAGAGGCCGGTAGATCTACAATATGGGATTAATAGACAAAATTAATATTTTGTGACCTTTGTTTCAAGAGACAAAAGATTTGCTAGAAATTGACCCGAATAACTATGTATCAGCTAAACCTAAACAGGCTATACGAGTCAAGTTTGAATTGGTGAGTTGGGTTGGGATTGGACTTTCTAACACATTTAATATTCAAGTAGAATTTGCGTTGAAACAATTTAGAGTCAGGCCAATTTTAGATCAAACCCAAACTCGACCCGTGAACTCAATTTAACACTCCTAGTTATGAAGCTAGGTCTGAATTGTTGGTTGCAACAAAGTCAATGAGCTCCACCGCACACAAAGTAGAGGAAACCTCCAAATTAACCTCTTCATAAAAGGAAACTCTATGTTAATCTCCTTACACAATAGGCAAACAATCTGTAGTTAGCACTGGAATCTTCAATCTTGACAACAACGGATGGAGAACATGGAAGGGAAGAAAAGATAGGGATTCATGGAAATATAGAAGGCATTAAAAGATCAAACTTTAGGCCCATAAAGTGTGGCCTTGGATCATAGAAAATTTGAACAGAAAATGGGAGGTGAAACAGCCGGATTCAGACTCCAGATTTCTCCCTACTTACAGTTTGGCACGAAGCAGTTGAAAGGCGCGATTTTTGTTCTGAAGCTGTGTTCTTTCTTCGGTGCAGAAGATGCGTATCCCTGTAGGTTTGTGGAACAGATCAACAGCCGTCTCGACCTTGTTGACATTTTGCCCTGCATCCACCAAGTAGCAACAAATAATCTAGAGCCTTTAAAAATAAAGGCATTTCCATAAATAACACAGTTCTTACGTATTAACATATGTAACACTTAAACATTCATATTTATATGCATACCACTCAAATCGTAAACATCACATTAAAAATACTATCATCACTGTCTTTTAAAAGTGAGATACATCTTCCATGCATAGGTTTATGAAACCAAAGTGTGATAAATGTAAATATCAAATTTGGGATGTTAGATATGTAAATACAAAATAATTTGGTCTGTTTGAAAATTTCTCTAAAAATAATAATAAAAGGGCAAAGTAATAATGATTTCTCATTATTGCATGGAATTTATTTCAAAAGTACTGAAAATATTGTCTGAATATACCTCCTGCGCCACCAGATCTTGCAGTTGTCATTGTAATGTCCTTTGGATCAATTAAAACGTCAATTTCATCAGCCTGTAAACAACATATCACAAGAAATTTCAATAATTTATAGCTAAAAAAGCTGGAGATGCTCAAATCTCATGATTTCCCTAAAGCTAAATGCTTAAATGGCAGTGAGTTGTAAGAATCAAGCATGTCATTGAGATTGAATATTAAGATATGTGCCATAGGAGGCTCTTCGAGCATTGGGCCTTTCGACAAAATATAAGGATACTTTGGTTATCTCCCTTAGGAGTCGAATACTTTAGAGTAACCCAGACGTTTGGCGGGCTACTTGAATGAAATCCAAGCACATGGGATTAGGATGCACAAAAGGCTACATTCAAGGAAGCATAAAGTACTTCTGAGAGTAATTGAGAAGCAAAACAAATAGCTTCAAAACGAGAAGCAATATGGTAAAATTGGAAAGTACAAGCATCAAGTATGGCTGACTCTCCAAACCAACAGGAAAAACTCCAAGATATGGCCTGTAAAAAAAAAAAAAAAAATTAAAAACCCTTGCAGGAGGTAGATCTTGCTACAAGAAAAGGCTCCAGAGGAAGGCCTGCTGCAATAAAAGCTCCGGAGAAGGGGGTTTGATGCAGGAAAAACTTCGGAGGAGGGTCTACTGTAGAAAAATACTCCAGAGGAGGACCTGCTGCAAGAAGAATTCCGATGAATGAAAAGGTCCGGAGGCCTGCAGGTAAAAAAGAAGAACACCTACAAAAAAAGTTGCACGACATGGCTTGAATGTCATCTGTGTTGTTGCTTATTTGAGCCTCATGATTCTGGAGCCTCGCAAAGCACCCTGACATATTTCAATAAAATTCCATCCACACAAGTGGGCACGAACAACAATATCAATATCCTGAACAGTTGTTCTGTCAAACCAGCCTCCACAATCCTCCAATGCCTTAATTCTCCAAACACCTACAGTTCCATTGAACCCAAAAAAGTTTAAAAAAGCCCATTGACTTGCTGTTCCACTTCAAAATGGAAGCACGAATTTATCTATTGAAATTGAGTTAAAAAAATCTCATCATTATTTGCAAAGCTCCATCTTGCCTGGACCAGAGCAAGATTTTTCCATTGAAGTGAGGACTGTTTTCTTAAGAAAATCTAAGCTTTGTTTAAAATCAACATCAAAAACAACCACAAACTCATAGTTCTTTACGTAGTCACAACTCATGGCAAATTTGAGGTTTCTTGCCTTAAAATCCCAATCGAGATAAACAGTGTGGAACTGATACTTAAGAAAGTTTAGGCCTGGTTGAAAATAACAACCAAACATAGCGACAAACCCGTAACTCTTGACATAGTCACATCTCATGGAGAATTTAAGGTTTCCTACCTTAAATCCCAATCGAGATAAACGGTGTTGTAGGTAATATTTAGTCTTCTTTGACTCCATTTGGAAACCTCATCTTGAATTAAGAGATGAATTCTCTCATCATCTGAGTCGTCTATAACTTGGATCAAGATCCTATCGTTTGGCCAATCAAGTTAACATGCATCAGAAATGAATTCTCATATCTTTTAACATTTGCTATGTGTCGTTCATTATGTCCCTCTTTAATGCTTCTTGGCACCTAGATCTTTCCCCTTTCTTCTGCCACCTCGCATGACTAGATTGTCACTAAAAAAGCTAGTCCAACATTGAAACCAAAAGTGTTGGGTGCGATGGAGATAGATACCAAGAGCCATACTTCTGATGTTCATAGAAGAGCTTTGGATGGCAAGCTTGTGGAGAAAAGCAAATCAAAGGAGGAGGAGGAGGTGAGTTATGTTCCAGCTAAGAAGGACAAGAAGAATAATAGGGAAGAGCTTGTTGTTGCTCTCTTCCATATTGTAGAGGAACTTCAGTGCAGACAGGAAGGAGATCCGCATGCAGCAGAAAGATTGTAGGAAGATGTGTCAAGGAAGTCTACTGAAATTTGCGGCCTGCACAAAGTTTTCCACCCAGTAGAGAGAATTTCCAGCTTCTAGGAACTTTCAATGAGAGAGTTCTGAAGGCTAGTTCCTGCAGGAAGGAGTTCAACGGCTAGGGTCTGCAAGGGGAGGAAGTTTCCGGCATCTAAGGCCTGCAGTGAGAGGGTTCCGACAGCTAATTCCTGCAGGAAAGAGTTCCTGTAGCTAGGTTCTGCAGGAAGAGGAAGTTTTTGGCGTCTAGGGCAGACAGGGAGAGGAAGTTTCCGACAGAAAAACTGAAAAGAAAAGACGGAGGAAAGGTCTGCAACACAGCAAGCCGATTGCAATGAATAGAAAGTTTCCGGCAACATGAGACTCTAAGGTTTGTTTCAAAGCTCTGACATCATGTTGAAATTCAGAATAATGCGGAATAGTTTTATTGATATGAAAGAGGGTATAAGTGACTCTTACATAGATCTTAGAATAGAAAGAATAATAAAAAGAATTAGAAGGAAAAAAGAGATAACACCTAAGATCTCTAATAATCAATTCATATTAATTGTTTGGAGATAAGGAAAACAACATAAAACAGAAAAGGAAATAAATCTAAAATAGGAAAGAAAAAAAAGTTATATTAGAAAATAAATCTAATCTTCATAACTTCTAACAAGAATAAATTATTCCAAATATAACTTCTAACTATATATATATAATAACAAAATATAATATGTTTATATGTACATGTTGCAGAGTATTATCTTAGTGAACTTTCCAAACATTGCACTTAGAGATTGCTTCAATTCATACATGCATTTTATATAGTTTAAATACCTTTCGGTGTAAATTTTAACAAAATCTTGATGTGACCTCTATGTATACTTTATCCTCTAGATCATTATATAAAAAAAACAGAGAGAAATGCAGCAATGAAAGCTTATATGTATTAATGATCGAAGCGGCAGCTTATGAAATTGCCATGAAAAAAGCCTGAGATCTAATTCCTTAACAAAAATCAGAGAAAACAAGTTGTGTTTTATTCCAGCATTTGTGATGAATTTATTTTCAGCAGATTTAGGAAATCAATGTATGAAAAAATAAATGCAGAGTTAATTACAGTTGGAAAAAATCACAGATTGATGAGATAATAACCATGATACAATTGATCAAGGAGATGATAATGAGAATAAGGGAGAGAAGAAGGCAGGCTAGATGTAGCCAAGTTGAGGCGGACCAACTAGTGATGCCACGCTCTTTTTGATCACCCTCTCAATTAGTCATGAGATGTAATAGGCAAATAACCGATTCCGATATATTTTCACCAGCACTTGTTACAACTCTACTAATCAGAATCGAGAGAGTAGAAAATTAAACTATCTAGATCATCACAAAACATAACTGCACTTTCATAATCATCCAAATTGATTCATCATACTCATTAATAAGAAGTGTGAATAGCTTTAATTTTCAAAATAGACTGCCAAACTTTTAAAACACTTAACAGTATACAAAAAGTCTTTAATTTACATCACAAACATCATTTCTTTTATTAAACATATAACATTGTACATCAAAACTCTAAGAAACATGAAAAAAATTGGGTTACCTGGCAAGGGGCCCACATGCACCCTTTTTTGCCTTAAATAATGACCAACATAATATCTAATAAGCTCAGTAGGTTAAATAACTCTAATATATGATACAAAATGTAAAAGAAGAACATAATATCTATAGGGAATTTTGTTCTCTTTTAGAAGGGGAAAGGGAGGTAGACAGAAAAAGAGTGAGAGTGAAAAAGAGATGTAAGAGAGAAAGTGGGTTGGAGAGCAGGTAATAAGGAGAGAAATAATGTCTGGTAGAGCTGGGATGACGAACTTCAGGCGTGGTTGGTAGAAATGTTGTTCACTAAGGTGAGGTACAAACGTCGACAACAGTAAAGTTCAAGCAATCAACATTTGAGGATGAAAAGCAACAAAAAAAAGTATAAGTGTCTGACATCTAGAGATATAAGCGAAGTTGGTAGGGTTTTTTATAGGAAAGATGCTTGGTGACGATTGGAGTATCCAGTGAATGAAGGTTGATGATGTCAACAAGTCTCTAGTGGTTAGGTGAGAAAGGGGATCACACAGGCTTGTAACTTTGATTAGCGACGAGTCCTAGGGAGGGAGGACGGGGTTAGAGATAGAGAGATAGATGCGATCCTAAGGATGAGAGCATTGGCATGCAGGTGGGATCGCTAGACAGAGAGATGATATAAGAGCACATGATCAAGAGTAGTGAGGATGCATTACTGGTCTAGGACTGGGCCCTTTCTTTAAAATGCAGCCTAGATAACTTGTTGGTTGGTTAGGCTACCAACCAATAAGTCTTGGGTTGCAGCTCTTGCCTGTGTGATGTGTGAGCGTTTAGGATTTGCTCAAGTCCAACTGGTTTCACTGCAGAATTTTATAAGGTGAGTTGGAGCATTATTAAGGAGAAGGTAATTTTTGCTATACAACGCCACTTTAAAGGGCATGATATGTGTAAATATTTCTCTACATCCACGATTGTTCTCATACCTAAAGTGAAGGAAAAAATCAACCTGGGATCAATTTAGATCCATTTGCTTGACTAGTGTGATCTCTAAAGTAATAAGCAAATTTTAGTGGTTAGATTGCAACCCCACCTATCAAAGATAATCAAAATGAATTAATCTGCTTTTGTAAAGGGTAGAAGCATCACAGACAAGCTCCTTTTGGCTCAGGAGCTAATGTATGATACAACAACAACAAAAACAAAGCCTTAATCCCACTACGTGGGGTCGGCTACATGAATTCTTTTTCTCCATTGCATTCTATTTAGTGTCATATTTTCATTTAGTTCTAGTAAATTAAGATCATTTTCCATACAATAAGCCCAAGTCTTCCTAGGTCTACCTCTGCCTTTCTTAACACAAGTCGAATCTAAAACATCTACTCTCCTAATCGAATCATCAGATGATCGACATTTAATGTGACCAAATCATCTAAGACGACTTTCTCTAATTTTTTCCTTCACAGGAGCTACACCAACCCTATTACGGATATATTCATTTCGCATTTTGTCACTAAGTGTAAAGCCACTCATCCACCTAATCATTCCCATCTCGA